AAGCCTCCGAGTATTCTTTAAACTGTGTACATAGTGTTTTCCTTAAGTAAAATGTTAAGAGAAGGTAAAAATGCAGTCTTTTCCTGCCTCCTGGTAAATTACAGTGCACAAAGTCTTGCACTTGGGAATAATATTTAAGGTATTTATCTTTAAAGAGTCATTTCCTTTGTTGTCATTAGTTAAGGGAATAAGATACTAGGTTTAGCAAGTATTTAAATAACATAGAAACTACTGAGATGCTTACTATGTCAATATTTATATAGCATTTAAAAACTAGAAGTAAAAATAAGTTTCCTTTATTTAGATTAAATCGATTGTGATTAATTTAGTATCCTCAAAAATGTGCATGATGCCCCCCCCCCCCAAAAAAGATAAGCAGATAAAAACACAGCTATAGATACTATGGGATTGACCTTGGGTTCACCGGTTTTAAATTCTGCCTTTCCAATATCCCAGTCCCAATTTCCAAGCAGCATTTTTTTAAGCTGGTTATGTAGATCAGTCCTTAAAGCAAAAAAATAGCAATTTATCTGGCCTGTATGTTGTGGATAGTGTTGCCACTAAAAAGAATCCAGGACATTTTTCCTTCTTATCTGCAATGTAGCTCATATCAGCCAACCTGTCACAAGATAGTACTTGATATAAACAAGAGATTGCAAAGACATCTCAGTAATCAATATCAGGATGGCTACAGTATGGAAACCCCAACCAGTGCATATCATTTGTCTCAGCATCTATTTCTATGGCCAAATGAAGCATTAATTCAAATCATAAATCTATGGTGATTTAAATCTGGGAATGAGCACCTGCCTGCTTTAATGATTTATTTTGTACATTTCAGTAAGCAGGAGATTTGTCCATATGAACTGACAGGTCACCTTCAGATGCCAGGAGCAGACTGTTTATCACCATGCAGACTAGCATCTCATCTTAGCAAGTAAATATTAAACTAAAAGAATCCAATTGATTGTGGATGAGGGAGAATGGAGACACGGCCATATATTTTACTCATTGTGCTGACGCCTCACTCGGATCTATCCCGAAGTCCTCACTTCTTCCCAAAATGATCATTCTGTTGGAAAGATGCGAGCTCAAGGTTACCATGTAAAATTGGGATATAAAATAATTTGCCAGTGTCATAGATTGCTCTAAACACTTTGGCGGGGGGGGGGGGGGCTAATTTTGACGATTCATATTAAGAACTAGAAGGAGTCATGTGTAATAAAAAGATCTCTTCACCTCACTAAGCCAAATCAAACCAAACTAAACAAACAGAAAATCTGTTTTCTGAGGCAGTAAGGATTTACTTACAACTGGGGTGGGGGGTTGGGGGGGGTCAGGTAATGTTCCTACACAGGAGAACCTAAAATGTTTAACAGGACTTGTGGGCCAGATGAGTACAAGAGAAAAAGGAAATCTGAATTGATTTAAAAACTGTCACTGTATTTGGGCAGGGCTGAGCAGCAACAATACATCATATAAGTAGCCCCTCTCTGAGGGGTTTCATTCCTTCAAAGAGACAATTGATAGATTCATGAGAGCAGTAAGTCTGTATTCTGAAATATAGGGCTTTGAGATTCTTGGGATTCTGCCTGGAATTCATACGCTTCAATACCACTTCCTAAGCACCTCATACTAGCTGATACTCCTGGATCTAGCACATCCTGTTTTGACTGCCTACTTATGTAGCCATCCCTCCCATAAACTATACACCCCCTGAATGCTGGGACTGGATTATAATTATTTTGTGTTACTTGAATGAGCTAAAATCAAATGCACAACAAAATCCAAATGACCTAATAGCTCCCCCCAAATTTACTCACAGGCTGCAGCTTAACAAATACCTAACAGGGGCACCTGAGTAGCTCAGGCGTTAGGCGTCTGTCTTCGGCTCGGGTCATGATCCCAGGGTCCCGGGATCAAGCCCCGCATCAGGCTCCCTGCTCTCCAGGAGGCCTGCTTCTCCCTCTCCCACTCCCTCTGCCTGTGTTCCCTCTCTCGCTGTCTCTCTCTCTGTCAAATAAATAAATAAAATCTTAAAAAAAAAAAAAAAATACCTAACAGAGAATAAGAACACAGAGAAGGAAATAGTTAATGGTTGTAAAAAGAGGAAGAAGGTAGTTCTCAGGAGGGCAAATTTGGAATAATAATAATAGCAAAAGCAGTACCAATAGGACTACCCTTACTGGTGACCAAACAATGTGGTAAGCAGACATTGTAATAAATAAACACTTGACAAATAGGATCTCCTTTAATTCTCGTGATGTAGATACTACTCTGCCATTTCCCAGATATGCAATGTTAGGCTCAGAAAGTTTACATAACTTCCCAAAATCACAGAACAGGTAATTGCTGAACACTTACCAAGAGGCAGGCACTGTTGTCAGAACCAGAGAAGACGGGGGGCCATATAAAACAACTGCCCAATGCAGCAACTACTTTGATCTCTGCAAGCTCAACCCCAACACCCACCAGTCCCCTGCACCTTCCTTGCCCAACCCCTCCACCAAACTTTCTTTCCCTGATCTCTAGAAAAGGGAGTGGGGTGTGCTCTGGAAGGATAATAAATCATAAATTCTTAGACAACAGCGGCATGTGAGACTAGAATAAAAATGACAATGATAACATTTCCCCCCAAATTAGCTACATATATCTAACAAAAATGATCTATCTGCTTCAATGACACCAATGTTAATACACTTGAAAAATATTAAGACTCTGTAGGAAAATTCAAATAAATTTCTGCTCCTGATTCAGATTGGTGTTGGGTGGTGGGGGTCAAAACTAAAAAGCAATATAAACTGCCAACTTAATACCTTGATGAAAGAAAAGTGATTTCTGCCAACTAGAACACAAAAGAAAAATCAAATTGCTTCCTTTTTTAAGACATTATGGTAGCCTATGTACCAAAATCATTAGGTAAACCACAATTTGGTCAGTAGGCAAATGTTATTCTATAATTGCAAATACTAAATGTATGTCAATGCCTAATTATGAGACATGTTCTCCTTATCTTATGCCTATTGGATTTTCCAAAGTCAACTTCTGCTCTGCTGCCCAGGAAATTCAGAGATATCATGTTTTAATATCTTTTGTTTTCAATGTTATTAAATTGCCTAATTTAAATATTCCTCCTCCCTACGCCAACTAGTAAGAACAGCCTGCGTTAAATGCTTACTCTTCTAAAATTTTGAAAACAATCCAGTTTGTTTTGCAATGGTAACTAAAATTTATACTGGCCAATGACTTGTTTTTAAAAGTATTTAATTTTGTTCTACTTTATAGGCCAAAGAAAGAGGCTGCTTATTTAAAAAAAAATGTACATAATAGTTCCAAAAAGAAAATTGTAATTCATTCATTTTACTTCAAAACTGTTTTTAATTTTCAAAAGTCTGAATTGATGTGTGTGAACCACGACCTTAACAACCCGCAGCCCTCCATCCTCTCCCTAGGAGCCCCACAAATGCAAGCAGTCATGTTTTCCTTCATCCCTGCCAGGTGTAGAGCCATAGTTTTGGCTCTCTTCCACATCTTTTCAACCTTCTAAGAATTGCCACCACCTTCTCTATAACCTATTCTCAAATCAAACCCATTATGGCCGCCCCTTTTCTATTTCCCTTGTGTAGTGCTATGGGGAAAATTCTATTTTTCCCTTTTCAACATAAGAAGCTACCCTTTGGCATCACTGAAGCAATGGTATTTTGTGTATTGTGTATATATTTGAAAATTACTTCTGACTCTAACATTAACACCCAGTGTATGCTCCCATGGAACTGTTGTAAGAATGATTATTACTACAATCTGTAGTATTCCTTCATATGCCCTTAATTCTATGACATTGGACAGAAAGTAGAGAGCTGCTGATTATCTAAAGAAATAATCTATGAAAACATTGCATGGAGAAGAAAATTTAATCGAACTGCCATGAATTATTTTGTCCTTCATGAACATATGTTGTATATTGTATCTTACACATACCTTGTAGTAGCCAAATTTCTCTTGCTAAATTGTATTTTGAGCACAATTTCTACATTTTAAAGAGAAACAATACAGTGCAGTGGCAGAATACAATGTTTTATCTCACCAACACAGAGATGTGAAAGATATCATCAATAAAAAACATTAACTCACATGTGAAGTTGTGTTTGAAAAATGAACTACCCAAATGAATTCTGCAAAGAGAAAGCTGTTGGTTTTGGTTTAAACAATGACTATTAACTTTTCATCTCTTTCCCCACATCTCAAGAAAGAAAAAAAAAATCAAGAGGAATTAAAGTGGTATATTTACAATGAGAGAAAATGGTAATAGTTATATATAGAAAGAATTAACTCTCAACATAATTCTTGGCAGCACATGAAAGAATCAAGTTTATATGTTCTGATGCTGATGCAAACTTATTTGATAACAAATCCAATAGGAATTAGAAGGATAAAGCATGGGTTTGCCTGTAAATATTCTGGTCACTTTACCTATAGTCAATATTTTAAATTTCTGATTATTGGGGTAGCTGGGTGGCCCAGTCGCTTAAATGTCTGACTCTTGATTTTGGCTCAGGTCATGATCTCAGGGTCCTAAGATAGAGCCTCGCTCAGGTCATGATCTCAGGGTCCTAGGATAGAGGCTCTGCACTGGGAATGGAGCCTGCTTAAGCTTCTCTCTCTCCCTCTGCCCTTCCCCACCTACTCACACACGCTCTATAAAAACTAAACTACACTAAACTAAACTAAAATTCTGATTATTGCAACTTAATTATATTACAAAAGATGTTAACTGAATGCTGTTAGTAGAAGTTGCCTACAGAAAGTTGATCCTGTATTAAAAAATTAGGTTGCTAATTATTTATTCGGAGTGCATGTTGTTAGAGGCGGCAAATAGCATCTCCAAAATATGCACTGTTTTCTAGGCTCAAAGTTACCAGCTTCTTGGGTTTTTTCTCCTGGAAAAGAAAGTAATTTGGTAGCCACATGATCACAAAAGTTTCCGCGAACCTACCACTTACCGACACTTGAATTCATGTCCCCATTTTCAGCATCGGCTCCATGTTGGTTATTACCGGCATGATAGCTGCTCATGGCTTCCAACTTGATTTTTTTCACCTTCATTGCTTCGGCAATGGCTGCATTCGTAGCAGCAGCAGCTGCTGCAGCTGCTGCGGTCAGACCTTAAAAGAATAAATTAAAAACAAGGTAATGCAAATTCTGATCTTTCACGTAATAGTCCATGTACTTCGAGAGCACACAAACATATTCGAGTATCGGATTGCTCCATGCACCACTCTGATAACCTATGTTCATTCCTGACTAGCCAATGAAAAAACATTGATAGGAGGGGGAGAATGCACTCTAAACTCCCAAATTAAATATTAGCAGAAACATAATTCATACATAAAAGGACAGCGGTAGAAAGGCATCCAGAATTCTCTCTGGAACAAACCAGTTTGAGTATGTTACTCCCTGCTTAAAATCCTCTGCAGCTGCCTAGAGGGGTGGGGTGGGGGGGGGGGGGGAATGTCTGAACTGCTTAGCTTAATTCCCAAAACCTTTCACTAGAAAGTGTAAACCTACCTCATCACTCCGTTTTCCTCATCCTCAGGCCACCCTCCAGCTACCTGAACATGCCACCAATACGCCTACGTGCGTGCCCTGCCTCTTCAAGCCTGTGCCTTCACACATGCCATTCCCTTTGTCTGGAAGAGCCTTGCCCCACAGCTCACTCCCCTGACTGCTCGGCTCCCAGCCTTCTAGCTCCAGAGTGAGCACTTCTAACCACTGTGCCATGTTTGCCCGGAACAGTTCACCTCTGCTCATCCAAAGAACGGGACATAGGAGTGGATGTGAGATTAGAAATAGAATTTGAGGCCAGATTATGGAAGAAGAGAAAGCTAGGGCCATGCCTTACAGACCTGCCCTAGACAGCCAGCAGAGGTTTTAGAGCAGGGGAGTGGTGTGTTTTTCTTGAAGGTGTGAACGTTTTACCATGTCCGTTCACTTCATCCTGGCATCCCTCACCCGCAAAATGACAGACACTGCAACATCTGAATGATCTCCTCTAATTCTAAAACTTTGATAGTCTAGGAGAGGATATACATCCCTGCTCCCCATCCTCTCTTTGCTATGGCTGCTTCAGATTTTCTGACTACAGTGCTTCAACTTGGTTTGAATTTATCTGTGTGATTTATTTCCACTCTCAGCTGGTGGATTAGAGACTGAACACCTCTCTCCTCTTTTCCTCCCCACTAATCATCACTTCTAGGTACTGCAGCAAATAAGTTACAGCCTCAGAAACTGTAAGAAAGTCTTTTTTCTTTCCTAGAAATCTCTGCTATTTTTTTTTTAGAGGTTAGAAGAGCTCACCTTTCCTTCAGATCAGACCAAAGAGGCCTTGACAACATTCACCCCAATGCAACAAGACCTTCAGAATAGATCTTTGAGTGAAAAACTTATAACTACCCTCTAAAAAGCTACTGATGTAAACTCAAAGAATTCATCTGGGTCTAGACTGTACATTTGTTGCCTTTTAAGTCCCAACTTGAACTGATTCTCTCATCTTCCTATGATTGAATTTACTCCCCAGTTACTCATTTCCTTCAAAGGTGTTTCAGAACATTCTCTTTCCTGTTAAAATTCGCCTTATGTCTCCCAGCAACTCCCTCTTTTGCCTTGTCACAAATGTGACCATCTCACATGCCCCTTCCTGTCATTGCCTGGTGCTGCCTCATCTCCAACTGATGACACTTGCAGGGTCTTTATCTTTGCTTTCATGTAGCAGGTAAATCTTGTTCAGAGCATTCAAATAAGGAAGATAAAACTACAACTTGAGATATAATTGTTATTATAGAGATCTGAATCAAATTCAGTAGCATGAAATATAACTATGCATGATGTAGCCGTAGACAGCCCATAAAGTCTTTTCGAGTATGGTTTCTTCATCTGTAAAGTCATTCTATTCACAAAGGGATAATATGAGGATTAAACAAAATAGACTATGTGAAAAAGGCCATATCATGTTTTGTTTTGTTTTGTTTTTGAGAGAGAGAGAGAGAGAGCGCATGAGGGAGGGGCAGGGGGAGAGAGAGGGAGAGAGAATCTTAAGCAGCAACACGCTCAGCTGGAGCCTGATGTTCGGCTCACTCCCATGACCATGAGATCAAGACCTGAGCTGAAATCAAGAGTCAGATGCTCAACCCACTGAGCCACCCAAGTGCCCCCAGCCATATCATGTTATTAAGAAGGGATGCAGGCATGCCCTGGCATTCTACTCCCTCAAAAAGTCCAGTCCTGCCTTTGATTCCTGCAGGATATGGTGGACTGGCCACAGCCCCCTTGGCTAGAAGAATCTTACTTCTCTTTAGCTGGTGACACTAACACTTGGCTTTTAAAAATATTTTTTTATAATTTTAGGTAGCTGACCTTATTTATGGTACTCTTCTATTTGTCCACTTGACAGTCTATCCCTGCAGTTTTACATGTCTAATACAAATTTCAAAAGATATACAGTGGTTCCCCCGTTATCCATGGGAGATATGTTCCAAGACCCCCATTGGATGCCTGAAACCACAGGCAGTGCTGAACCTTATATACACATAACTACGACAAAGTTTAATTTATAAATTAGGAAGAAAGAGATTAACAACAATAAAACAGAACAATTCTAACAGTACACCATAATAAAAGTTACGTGAATGGGCTCTCTCTCTCTCTCTCCCTCAAAATATCTCATCGTAGTGCACTCACCCTTCTTGTGATGAGGCGAAGTGAGGGGAATGACGCAGGCGCTGTGACACAGTGTTGGGCTACTAATGACCTTCTGATGACTTGTCAGAAGGAGGATCATCTGCTTCCAGACTGCGGTTGACCAAACTGGGGAAAGGAAACTGCAAATAAGGGGGACTACTGGAAGGACGTGACCCATACATGCTATCGCTAAACTCTATGATACTTATAAGTACTGGATTTTTAATCTAGTTTAATGAAGTCAGTAAAAAAGCAATGACATTTTCAGCCACTGCTGATTTTAGTCCCACTAAACTCACCTGGCTCACAATTCTAATTCTTGAATAGCTTTCAAATTCAAGCAATTTTCTCCATTTCCCCGGCTCCCTCTAGTGCTAGCTGCCACACTTTCTTCAGCAGACACATTCAATGCCTGCTCTTAGGAGTAAGTGGGGTGCTTCATGTAGCTGTCAGGGCCCTTCACGCTCAGTCCCTTGTCTATCTGTGTAGCATCACCTGTTCCCCCAGGTCCTACTTGCTCTCTGTGCTCTAGACACATGGGCCTTCTCCCATTTCCTCTAATGGACTATCCATCCCTTCTTTCAAGCCAGACTTTGCACATGTTCCCCTTTCTAGAAAGCTTTCCCATCCCTGCCCCAGACCAGCCATGTGTCCCTTATCTGGTAGCTTAAATATTATGTTCTAGGAGTAGCAGGCTCAGCTTCCTGACTCTTCAAGCTACCTGGGAAACAATGATCAACATTTCAAGAGTCAGCTCAAAACACACTTCTTTTGAAGAGCTGACCCTCCTTACTCCTCAAGGGGAGAGTCAGCCATCCTTTTGTTTGTGTTCTCAACCTGCTCTCTGTGAGTTTGCTATCCTTTGTGCATCAGAATCCCCCAAGGAGCTTTTAAGCCATGCAAATGGCTGAGTCCTACCATAGGACGTTCTGACTGGGGCTCCTGCATCTGTATATTTTAGGGTGGATTTCACTGCTCCCCAAGTCATTTCAATGTGCAATCTGAGAGGAGAAACTCTGTCCCTTGAATTCTTTAATGATTTTTTTTGGGGGGGAAGGGAGGTACCAAGGGGGAGGGTAGGCTTAAGGCTATCTCCTCAACTAAGTTATAACACCAAAAGCACAGAAATATGTCCCTAATATATGTATCCCAAACATCTACCACAATGCCTGCCACAAATTGTCACTGAATGAAAAAGCACTTCTGAAACTAGAGTACTTGGACAGTCACAGGAGAAATATGGTCACTATTTTAACAATATCTATTATTAAAGCATTATGTTGATATTACAATCAATGTGAATATACTAGGAGTAGCAAATTTCATGAATTTAATACAAAGCATGACTCTCCCAAGCTACATTTGCCTAGGGCTGGAGAGGATCACAAAAGGCTCACCGGCCCTCTGTATTTATTGCACTTCCTGTTGGCCTTGCAATGGCCCTTTCAAATCTCTGATGTAATCCTCAAATCCCCTCCACCTTGCTCTTAGAAAGAGGTCTCATTGTATATTTTGTTCCAAATGAAGTTGCCTTTGAAAAAAAAAAATTATAATAAATTCCCAAAATAATTCTAGCTTTTGGTCTATATTTAGAGAGAGAATTCAAACTGAAAACATTTACATGTCATCAAGAATTGTCTACTTGTGTAAATACTGGCAACCCATGACATTTATCATGCACCTTTACCTCCCTGCCTCACCCTTTTCTCAGAACATTTTTCCCCCTTGCCTGAGATTCACAGAGATTTTTATGTCCTCCTTCAGTATCCCACCCTCAAGCACATTATATTGCAAATTTACCACTATTTTAACTCTTCCCAATCAAGACGAACTATTTTTATCTCAGAACTAGGTAATTCAGTGTGTCTCAAAGTGATAGTCAACATCAAATCCAGCTGTCATGCATGGTAAAGTCCGAGATCTTCCCCAGGGACACATTCACGGACTATGTCTAGGATGGGCTGAGGAATCTGTGTTTTTACCTTTCAACAAACAGGTTGATTCTGATGCTCACTGCCCTTAGATTATTTGATGACAGTAACTGACACTAAAGTGTGTCTGCATCTTACAGTAAAAGTTTATTAACCAAGCAGATCATCATTGACCTTGTTTTCAAAAGCGAGTGTGCTTAAGAATCAACAAGGGAACTTGTTAAAATATTAAATCAGGTTCAACCAAGGAATCGGAGTTTGAGACATACTGCTCTAATGGGATGTAGACTTTGTAAAAGTAAGTCTTCTTGTGCCTTGAGCCTACCACAGCAGAAGCAAAAAGTGTGGTACTTCCGTGTGTTATTGATGCAGCGACCCTGCACATTATTAGCTCCATTTACATGTATGAATCTATTTGGTATGTATGGCAACTGTTAGTGAAGTAGCTTGGGTAATCACTCCTGATTCTTTAATTAAGCTTTTCACCAGATCTCCTTCTCTCATTGGGAGAAAAATTACAAATATGTGTGTGTGTGTGTTTGTGTTTTTGTGTGTGAGATTATATGATGAAGGAACAAATAAATAATTTCTTATACTAAGGAATGATTAACCTTGATGATTTTTACACTCTCAAAGAACATTCTTATACTAAGGAATGATTAACCTTGATGATTTTTACACTCTCAAAGAACATTTAAATATCTCATACACCAAAACAAAAACATGTACTAAACGAAGAAGTCAAATATAATTTCATTTTATTTTACGAGATCCTAAATCCTATGTAATCAACAAGGGAGAAACTTAAATGTACACTTAACACTCATTTCACACTAATAAGATAATGGATTGAGAAGTATATATATTTTTAATTTTGTATATGTTTCACGAATTTTTTTTAAAGATTTTATTTATTTATTTGACAGAGAGAGACACAGCGAGAGCAGGAACACAAGCAGGGGGAGCGGGAGAGGGAGAAGCAAGCTTCGCGCTGAGCAGGGAGCCCCACGTGGGACTCGATCCCAGGACTCTGGGATCATGACCTGAGCCGAAGGCAGCCGCTTAACGACTGAACCACCCAGGCACCTGAGAAATATTTTTTTTAAAGACATTTTCCTTCAGAGGAAGGATAGTAAGTCATAGTTTGTACACTCCTAGACCTCCAACTGGCCTTCAGGAAAGGGATCGTACTTCAAAATAAGGTTAAAGACCATAAACCTTATATCATGCAAAAATATTTAGTTATTTTTTCTTTCCTATTAAATGTCTACAAGCTCTATATTTATAATATAAAAGAATAAGTAGATTTTTACAAATAACTTTAAAAAACAGCTTTTCATATTATCGTCTGAATTATGATATAAACACATCACTGTGGGCTTCATTCTGCTCTGCTCCTTCAGAGAAAAGTCTGTATTGTTCTTTAACTGCACATTGTTCGAAGTTTTTTTTCTTATCTTGGCTTATAGATTCCTTTTACTTTCATTTTTGCATGCCCTACTAAAATGTTTAAAGTTCTACTTGAATAAGCGACTGTCAATGGAAATTACTAGTTATCTAAACTATCATATAGGGAGTAAACACATGGTGGTTAAAAATGGACTCCAAAAAGCCATACAAACTTTGGACAACATGCATTAAATTTATCTGGGATACTGCTGCAAGTTACATAATTCCTAAGGCTTCAAAATTCTCATCTCTAAAACAGAGCTATCAATTTTGACTTGATAGGGATGTTGTGGAGAATAAAGGCAAAATAATATATGCAACAGCATGGGAACATACTAAGCCCTCCGCAAATTGTAGTAAATATTATCAAGTAACCAGAATATCCATCATGCCGTTATGTTTAGTTTTACCCCAGTTCAGTTACTCACAAAAAGACAACTATGACAAAAGCTACCTAACAGTGTAGAGGGAGAATTTAGCCATTAGACAAATGGAAATCTAAAATCCATGCTTCTATCTAAACATTTCATTTAGTAGTCTACATTGATCATATTTATCTTAAAATCACTAAATCTCCACTCTGTGCTGTATTGATACAAAGCCTTCGCTACTTCAAATTCAATATCCTAAAACCAATCCATGGGTTTATCTTTGGAAGAGAAGTAGGCATTGTCACCACTTACGAATCTTATTTTACTCTGCAAAGATAGCATTTTTCTTCTGCTTTCAACTTCTATCAACACAGTCTTTAAATCTTTCAAATGCCATCTACGATCCTGATCACTTTTTCCAAAAAAAGGGGAAAGTATCCCCATTCTATTTATTTCAAGTAAGTTAGTACCCCTTGTGATAAAGAGTAGATTACAACTATAGATTATAAATATCAATAAAAGAGACATATTGCTGTCAAATTCTTTCTCTGATCTGTTTGTTTGCTCATTAACTTGAAAGGTCTAATCTTTGATCTTTGGTTTCAAAGACATCAAGATGACTTCCAAATGTTTGATATGTTGTCTACTTTTACATCACATTCCATATAAAATGTATTTCCCAAAATGTAATGGTTAAATAAAATGAGTTATATGCAAGAGATAGTAAGCAGTCAAAGCTTCCAAATGATAGACTTTTTTTATTAGTCTATGTCACTTTGCCCAAATTTAGAAGAAACCATTTTAAAGATGTAGTAGATTATAGCCAATGGTAGTTATTATTAATATTCTGCAATTGATAAGTTATTTATATCTGGCATTCTTCCTACTGATTATTCAGGGAGACAGGCGGCTTATAAATATCTCATCACTCCACCATCACAGAAATTTCATCGACAGTGCTCATGCACAGCTATTAGCAATATGAATCTAACCATTACAAGAAGGAGGAAAATCGAACATGTGGCATTAATACGCAGTCCTGGTTCCTAACCATCTGATAGGCAGATGGTGTGAAGCGGATTCTCCAGCTGAAATGAAGGGGCACATCATTTAAAACCTTGTTTGCATTCTAACTGATATCAGTGCCATATTGATATACATGATACCTCATGGCAGTATTTGAACAATCTAGTTTGTTTCAGTCATAAATGTTTACTGCCTTGTTTTTTTTAATCTTATAAGCATGTTCAGAAGAGTGTATTTTTTTAATTTATGAAACCTATTGTTTACTTCTGTTGAACTACAAGATTAGTGGAAAGCAGGAATATTAAGTTACTTCAACCACAGCAATATAACCAAGACAGATGAATAAAGT